AGGGAGAGAGGGAGGGAAGAAGGAAGGAAGGAAGGAAAGAGAAAAGAAGGAAGGAAGGGAAATAAGAAAGGAAAGGAAGAAAGGCAGGAAGGAAAGGAGGAAGGAAGGAAGGAAAAGAAAGGAAGGGAAATAGGAAGGAAAGAAGGAAGGAAGGAAAAGAAAGGAAGAAAGGGAAAGAAGGAAAAGAAGGAAGGTAGGAAGGAAAAAAGGTAGGTAGGAAAAGAGAAAGGGAGGAGGAAAGGAAGGAGAAAAGGAAAAAAGAAAGGAAGGATGGAAGGAGGAAGGGAGGATGAAAAGAAGGATGAAAAGAAAGAAGGAAGGAAGGACGGAAGGAAAGAGAAGGAAAAGAGAAAAAAAGAGGGAGGGAAGGAGGGGAAAAAAATAGACAATAATTAATCTTTCCAAATGATCTTTGCCAAATTCAAGTCTGAGGGCAATACTTAGCCTTTGATAATTATTCACTTTCCTTGTGCTCAATAAAGTTGAGGTAGAATTACTCAATTCCCACTTGGCTAGTCACTATTATATTTGAACATCTTCTCATGATAAAATTAAAATTTGTGTTGGGCGGTGCCTGTGGCTCAGTGAGCAGGGTGCCAGCCCCATATACAGAGGGTGGCGGGTTCAAACCCGGCCTCAGGTTCGAACTGCAACAAGAAAATAGCTCGGCATTGTGGTGGGTGCCTGTAGTCCCAGCTACTCAGGAGGCTGAGGCAAGAGAATTGCCTAAACCAGGAGCTGGAGGTTGCTGTGAGCTATGATGCTACAGCACTCTACCAAGAGCAACAAAGTGAGACTCTGTCTCTTAAAAAAAAAAGACTTAAAATTTGTGTTTCATGTTTGTGGTTAAACCGTGTGTTGTTCTTATAGCTGAGGAAATGCTGCTTTTGCTACATAATAATGTGTAGAAGGATACTATTGATCAGTTTGGAAAATCAGTTGAGAAATACAGTAGAATCTCTGTGAGCTGACCACCCAAGGGACTGTAGCAAACTGGTTAACATAAGGACCTAGACCTACTACTGTACTGATAGGAATGTGTGGTGCATGTCTGGTTTATGAAAATTAAGTCAACGTACAGAGGTAGTCAGTGTAGGGAGGGGGCAGCAATGGAGGTTGTATTTGTGTTTTAATGGGAAGAGTCCTAAAACCATCACAAAGGTGGTATTCCAGTGGTGCTCTGTTTTGCAGGTGCAACCGTGTGGAAGGCTCATTACGTGACTCCCAAATTCTCCCCAGAAGGAAGTGGTGCATGCTATGGACAAGGGATGTGCTCATGTTCTGGGGAAGTCACCTACCACGACCCACCTCTCCTCTTTGACATTGCCCGGGACCCTTCAGAAGCCTTGCCACTGAGCCCTGACAATGAGGTGTTATTTGATTCGGTGATCAAGAAAATTGAGGTGGCGATAAAGGATCATCGTAGGACGCTCACGCCTGTCCCTCAGCAGCTGTCTGCTTTCAGCACCATTTGGAAACCGTGGTTGCAGCCATGCTGTGGCACCTTCCCTTTCTGTGGGTGTGACAAGGAGCTTGACATTGTACCCACTGCTCTCTGAGCAATGGGACTGCTTGTTACGCACCGGAAACTGACATGGTCATGGTGGCAGGATCAATGCATTAACTGGCATTAAAAAAAAAAAAAAGATAGTTTCCATGGCGATTGTATTCTCTGACACCCATTCTTCCTTCTAGGGGCTCAATAAAGTTAAATTTTCTTCTTTTCTCTTTAAACGGATGAGAGAAAAACCACAGTTATACACTTAACTTATGCAATAATGTTGGGGAAATATTTAAAAACACAGAAAAATGTCAGGGAAGGTTGGCCACCATGCATTATTACAGTAACAGTGAACTGAAGGAATTTCTGAACCATCTATTCTGTATATAAACATTAAAAAAAACTTTGTCATGTCTTTTTTTAATGTAATTGTGTCTTTGCTCAATGGAAACAACAGAATGAGATGAACTTCGTACATTCTTGTGGGTCTTTGGTTCTTAGAAGATGATTTGTTCAAGTAACAACAGGTGCAGTGTTGTGGTGTGGACATTGTTAGGTTAGAAACCTTTGCTTCCAGATTCTCAACCCAAACATGCTATTTTCTTAATAAATCACAATAAAGAATTTCATCTCAGCATGAAGCAGATGGTGCACATTAAATGTTAGATTATGTCACTATCACTTTCACACCGTTATCTCTCACTTTCTTGCTTTCTTTTTTTCTTCTTTCTGTCCTTAAGAAACAGCTGGTTCTGAGAGAAAATACCTCAGGTCAGGTCTCTGCTTCATATCACATGAATGGGAAGACACTTTGGTGATTTGTTTCTTTCTTGCCTAAACTAGTGTCTCCTTCCTAGAGTGGTTGTAAGAATTACATGCAGTAATTGATGTGAAATTGCCTTGTATAAAATAAACAATGCACATTATTATTATGATTAATATTGTTGTTATGGTGTTATTATTACACCATGCAATTAGTCATGGTTACTGAAGGATAGAATAGAAAGAAAGAGGGAGAGTCTATATTTAAAGAAAAATAAATTAAATTGACTAAAGCAATTACTTAATTGCATGTGCACATAGAAAGTTATTTTAAGCAGGATAAACAAAATGAATCCATGGTTTGCAGCATCAGAGCTGCAAAGACAAAGAGACAAAGAAAAGACCTCTAAATCCATCAGAAGGAGAGACCCATTGCACACAAAATAATAAGCATTAAATGAAAAGCAAACACTAACACCCACAGTGGAAATCACAAGATGATAAGAGAATCCTCTCTTCAAACTGTTGAGACAAAAGCAGAGTTATAGACATACATCATTCAACAACGATGGTGTCATATTTAAAAACATAGGAAAGTATTACAGAGAGTTTACAACCAGGAATTACTACAATAACTATTAACTGAACACATTTCTAAAAAGAGAAAAGAAGGGATTCTCGAAAGTAAGATGAATTCTTAGTAACCTCAAGAATGGGGAAAAAAGTACCCAATGTACTCAATACTATTGTGGAACCAATATATAAACACTTACTCATATGAGTGATTAAACAGAAATATAGTCTAGCAAGGGTGAGGGTGATGGGTGGGAGGAGGGAGGGCATTTTGTGGGATCTCAATGGGTGCAGTGCAAGGGTCTATTTCAAAATAACTAAGAGTAAATTTTAAATGTCTTACCACAAATAATAAGTGAGGTGATGGCAATGTTAATCAGTTTGATTTAATCATTTCATATTGTATGTTGAATCATCATATTGTACTCTGTAAATGTATACAGTTGTGATTTTAATTAGAAACTAATAAAAAATTAAACAAAAGAAATGGTGAACAAAGAACTTGTTAAATGCTGAATAAGTGCAAACCAACATTGACCTTAGAGACCTTTTTTAAAATTTTTAAATGACTAATTTCAGGAGAAGTTAAATTAACATGGAACAGAATAGTAACACTTAAGATGGAGAATACAAAAATTAAACACTTACAGGATTCTTGTATTGTTCAGAGACATATATGCAGGATATGAAACAGTCTTAGAGTTTGTTAAAAGTGCATATAAGATTATAAAGGCTGAAGAAGTGGAACATTTATACTTAACAGTGATGAAATATAGCAGTGTAATAAAAATAGGAAAATCAAGATGTATGAGAATCCATGCAGAACATTATAGTAGAAGTTTTTTTGTGCAGTCAAACTCACAGAGGCAGATGATATAATGATGGTTGCCAGGGGCCAGCAAGAAGGGGGATGGGGAATTAGCATTTCTTGGGGACAGAGTTTCAATGTTGCCAGATAAATAAGTTTCGGAGATGGCTGGTGGTGATGGTTCACAACAATGTGAATTTACTTAATAATGAACTGTACTCTTAAAAATGATTATGATGGTAAATTTTATGTTATGCACATTCTGCACATAGCGGCAATTTGTTCCAGGGGCAACCTCAGCTTTTTCCCTGGTGAAATCTGACAGCCCCACGTCAGCAGAATTCTAGGCTGTCTGTTACAGGACCAGCTCTTCAGAGATGTTGCACTTGGATTCTTCAATCACACCTCTGAGGGTCTTTCTACATTCTAGAAACACAGAATTTCCAAAGAGCAGAAAGACAGAAAGTACTTTATTTATTTATTTATTTTACCTGTCCTGTGCGGACTCCTGGTCTCCCTCATCTAAAGGGCAGTGCTTCCCAGTCATTACCCCCAAACTTCTTGGAAACTGCTCCGAGACACACCTATTTCCCAACAAAGAACACCTGTTGTTCCCTGTCAGAGGCACCGGGACATCCCCTTTACAAACCTGGACTTGTCTCCACCATATCAGGCTCGTAACACAAGACACAGCCTGTTAACCTTGGGCATAAATCACAGGGTACCTCACCTTTGTGGTAGGAAAGCAGGTTCTCTCTTTCTGAACTCTCCTCCTGAGGACACATCAGCCCTGTTCCATTCCCCTTCCCCACCAGCCTTCAATGCTTATTTATAGATTTATTTATTTATTTTTTACAGCACAAGAAACCGGGTTACACTGATTGCATTTGTTAGCTTAGGACCGTCTTACACCTGTGTCTTGCCCCCCAAATTTGTGTCACACACAGAGACCCCACCCCCCCTCCCTCATTCCCTCTCTCTGTTCTTCCTTTCCCCCACCCTCCACTGGGGACTAGGTCGTTAATTATCCTTATATCAAAATTGAGCACATAGGATTCATGCTTCTCCATTCTTGTGATGCTTTAGTAAGAATAATGTGTTCCACTTCCATCCAGGTTAATACAAAGGATGTAAGGTCTTCATCTATTTTAGTGACTCAATAGTATTCCATGGTGTACATAGACCACAGCTTGTTAATCCATTCCTGAGTTGGTGGGCATTTAGGCTGTTTCCACATTTGGGCAATTATAAATTGAGCTGCAATAAACAGACTAGTGTAAGTGTCTTTATGATAAAAGGATTTTTTTTCCTACTAGGTAGATGCCCAGTAATGGGATTGCAGGACTAAATGGGATTAAATGCTTTTTTTTTTTTTTAAATCAAGAACTTGCCTCCAGAATAACCTTTTCTATGATTCTCTTTGACCATCCTGGGTAGAATTTTTGCACTTTGTAACCTGTGTTCATTTCAATTCTGGATGCACTTGGCTTTTTATTGGCAAGATTTTTATTTCCCCATCTGTACCCCCCATTCTGGGTTTTAAGGCTCTCTGGGGAGTTAGGAGTGGTCCTGGTTCTTGCCTCAAGATTCCAAAGTCTGCTCTGAAAGGGAGGTGCTCAGCTGCCATTTGATAAATACTCAGAGAACAAGTAGACCTTTGCTTTGTGGTTAAAAATAAAATTCCATTATTTGGTAGAGTTTTTGGACTTATTTGTTAGTATTATTATTAAAAAGAAAACACCTACTGGTTGTGGTAGCTTACACCTGTAATCCCAGCCCTCTGGGAGGCAGGTGGATTGCTTGACTTCAGAAGTTCAAGAGCAGCCTGAGCAAGCGCGAGACCCTGTCTCTACTAAAAATAGAAAAAGTAGCTGGGTGTGTGTGGGGTCACTTATAGTCACAGCTTCCTGGGAGGCTGAGACAGGAGGATCACTTCAGCCCAGGAGTTTGAGGTTGCCGTGGGCTATGACACTACAGCACTCTACGCAGGGGGGCTTTGGGCTTTTTTAAAGGCTCTGTCTAAAAATAAATAAATAAATAAAATAAGAAAAGAAAAGAAAAAGAAACCTCCCATAGCAGGGTGCTGTTTGTAAAATGAACAGTATTAAAGAGCCTATGAAAGTTTTTACTGTTGGGTAATATTTATATGGGGAGCAGGAGAGAAAAGTTAGTGCTTATTTGGCTTGCTTTCTTATGGCAAGAATTATCTTCCACATGTGAAAGGCAGGGGGCCTGGTTATCACTTGGCCTATCAGTTATCTGTGGTGCAATGAATGGTCCCTTTACGTCTTGGGAGCGTGGGCAGAGCTGACACTGTGCCACTGAGACAGGAACATCACCACCCAACTTTGCATGTAATCATTGTCCTATTTTTTAAAAAAAGAAACTAGATGTATACCAGTGCCAACTTAAGAATCATCTTACTCTCTCAGAGGTAATAGCCAGGCACTGAGTCTAAACAGTTTAGGTAAACTGAGGTACCTGCATGCCACTCCCACACCACCCAATTTGAGGACACAGAAGACAGAATCATGGCCACTAATAAAACCATCACTTGTGTAACTCAAGAACCAGCATGCTGGTGTGGTTAAAGGTTTCTTCCTTTCCATTTGGTCTCTTTGTACTGATTTTTTTTTCCCTCCAGCACTGAAGATGGTCGTGTACGAAGGCGTCATTGCATTAAGTAAAAGCATCCGATTAGCTAGCATGGGCGGCCAGAATTTGAAATTTAGCTGAGCATGTCCACAGCATTATTTTTGCTGACACACAGTGGTAGCCGGCAAAGAAAGAACATTTCAAGGTCAGGCAATTCTTTAGGAACAAAACTATTAGCAACAGGGGACTGTAAGACTTTTTCCCAAAAGCAGGTGCAGAAAGTCATTATAGATCAGCAGATCTGCATGATTGGATGCAATTCCTCAAAGACTAAATTCACCAAATAAAGACAGAAAAGAAGGAAGGGAGGGAGGGAGAGGGAGATGGAG